TGAGGCACATGTTCCATTAGAACAACAAGATTCACCTGATGCGCAGTCGCTATCATACTTACAAGACTCTCCAATACAATTTAAGGCACATGTTCCATTAGAACAACAAGATTCACCTGATGCGCAGTCGCTATCAAACTTACAAGACTCTCCAGTACAATTTGAGGCACATGTTCCATTAGAACAACAAGATTCACCTGATCCACAGTGCGTATCATATTTACATGATTTTCCAATACAAGATCTAGCACATTTGCCAATACGACTTTGACCACGATCACAACAATATTCACCTGATAAACAGTGACGATTTACAGAACAGGAGGAACAATTTAAGGCACATGTGTCATTGCAACAATATTCGCCTGGCCCACAGTGGCTAGAGGAAGTACAAGGCGCGCCAATGCAATTGTATTGACAAACATTGACTTTTTGACAACAATGCGCTGGGCTATGACATGAATACCCATGCAAACAAGCCCCGGCTTCTACTTGGGAGAACACAGCAAGGAATATCACACAAATACACGTAGTCTTCTTTATACATGCCATTCTACGTGCTGCAAAATAATATAATAGGAAATAATATGGAGGAAATAATATAGAATTGAAATGAAATTGTTAGCGTTATACGTTGGTTCCTATAGCTACTTTAGGAATAATTCCTATAGCAGCTGCGTTATGAAATGAATAACATTTTTTTATAACATCTACGTTGGTTCTTATAGCTGTGTTAGCGTGTACTTGCTAACTGAATTCTGATTCGTCGTTTTATTACGTACGATCATGTAAAATGAAGAGAAAATTACATAGCCAGCTGTTTCGTGCTATTTTAGTGCTCAATTATTCTGGAAAATCCACAAAGTCTTTGTTTTATCATTAAAGACAATAAATTTTTGACATATTATAAAATAACTATCGAATGGAAACATCACGACAAACCATTCAACTCAGTCCTGTTGTTAACTTAATAAGAAAATTTTCTTAAAAGATTTGTGCACGATGAAACCGTCTCAATATAAAGGCGTAGCTCATTATAAACGATTTGAAGTTGGTCGAGTTTCCACAAACCCATGTTTTGATTAGGTGTGCTTATGCTGTCTTAGGGGCTGTTTACATGAGCCCTACCGGGAGGGCTGGCCCTAAAAGTAGGGCTAATTTTCACCGCTTGTTTACATGAGAAAAATCAGCACTACTGGTATAGGGATAGCTTCCTTTCGCAAGTAGCACTTAAATGGCTTCCGTGCGACTCATTATTTTTATTTTGGCGTCCAAAATCATAGTTTGCCGACTAAATTTTGGAATAAAAGCCAACAGACATTTGAATATCCGTTTAGAACTATATCCTTAAAACAAAAAGAGTTTAGTCTAAAATCGATTCGACGGCTTTTTCACTCGGCCCTACTAGGAGGACCAGCCCTCTCTACTGCGTTTATATGAGAAAATTCCAGCCCTACTAGGCGATATCTCAGGTGAATAATAGTGAGATCTCACCTAGGAGGGCTGGCCCTCTTCTCATGTAAACGTAACCAATTTTTAGTAAGGATTTCAAATAGCACGCGGGATCTCGCCTAGTAGGGCCAGCCCTCCCAGTAGGGCTCATGTAAACAGTCCTTAATTTGCCGCCTGCATAATTGGTCAGTAGGCAATTAATACAAGATATATATTCATATATATACATAACTTACACGCATCTATTTGGTGAGCAGCCTATAATAAGTTGTTGGAAAATCAAGCTTAGCTTTGTTTCAACTGTAAGAAAATTGTCCAATAATTCCTTGAGAAAAACCCAATTGTTTTGATAGTTTTAGAACGGTTTGGTCTTGAAATGAAACAAGAAATTAATTTTGTTTTTGACTTTATTTGCACATTATTTTACAGATTATATACCAAACCTACTTTAAGAGCTTGTTTGTTGATTGACAAAATACATCAAAATATTTTGTATCAAATATTGAAATCCTGTCATATGTAAACTAAGTGGTATTCTAGCCTACTCATTGTTACGTAACATACAAAATAAACTTAATAAAATACCAGTTAAATTCACAGAGTAAAATTCTAGAATATTTGACCATGGCTGTGGTTTAAACATAAAGTATGGTGCGATTTCAACAGGGGGACCACTTTCCTCTGGTGATGGTTTTAATAAAATTAAACAAGAAATCAATTGTGAAACTGCATGTTATTATTTATGTAGCATTATTTATTTATTTTACAAACTATACACTATTAAACATTTGTTAATAATTGTCAATTGAGTAACCTATATAAAAAATCCAATAATGGTAAGTATCAAATTTTGAAATGCGTCTGCATTCATATAAACATGTACTTAATATTGTGAGTTTTGTTATTTAATTAACATACTATAATAGGGATGAGCCAATTAATCGGCCATTTTGAAATAATCAGTAATGGAGCGATTATTGCATGATAATCGTCAAAATAAACTACAAGAGTAAAACTCCTAGAAATGTGTGTCAACATTGTCCCTGTCTCTGAATATAACGTGTGGGGTCATTTCAATTGGAGGATCACGTGGTCCTGGTGAAAGGTTTTGGCTGTGGTATGGGGGTGGGGAGATTCTGCCTCGGGGTTGACACGGTGGTAAGGGGAGCCTGGAGTAAGGCGGTGGGGGTTGATTGGGGTATGGTGATGGGGCTTCATTGGGGTATGGAGGTGGGGACAAAGTGGGGTATGGTGATGGGGGTTCGTTGGGGGTATGGTTCAAGGTTTTGGACATTCAATGGTTGTTCTTGTGGTGTATGTTGTTGTTCTTGTTGTTGCTCTTCTTCTTCTTCGTCATGACTTTCAAGAGAAGTTGCAACTTGTGTTTCTCGACTTTCAAAGGTTGCAGTTCTAAGGCTGGTAAGTGGTGGTTCTGACAGAGACCGCCGTTGTTGCCCGAAGCGAAACGTAGCACGTCTCGGGAGTACTTCCCGCATTCTCTGATGACACCAGTCACAACACCAGCCACACGCGGCGATTGCACACATAAAGAAGACAATAATACCGGTAGGGATAAGTAAAATGCCTACAACGACAAGCCAACCCACAGGCACAGTAGATTCACTTTCGCAATCTTTACATTCCTTATAAGAATCATTCTTGTAACAACATTTTCCAGTAGTGTTGCAATCGTTGTCTGAGTTACACTGTATTCTAAGAGAAGAATTAGCACATTCACCATGACCTCGATAAACATTACGATAATATTCACTTGATACACAGTCGCTATCATACTTACAAGGCTCTCCAATACAACTTGAGGCACATGTTCCATTAGAACAACAAGATTCATCTGATCCGCAGTGCGAATCATATTTACATGATTTTCCAATACAAGATCTAGCACATTTGCCACTAAGACTTTGACCACGATCACAACAATATTCACCTGATAAACAATGGTGATTCACAGAACAGGACGAACAGTTTAAGGCGCATGTGTCATTGCAACAATATTCGCCTGGCCCACAGTGGCTAGAGGAAGTACAAGGCTCGCCAATACAATTGTATCGACAAACATTGACTTTTTGACAACAGTAGGCTGGGCTATCACATGAATATCCATGTTTACAAGCCCCAGATTCTACTTGGGAAAGCACAGCAAGGAATATGACACAAATACACGTAGAAGACTTTATACACGCCATTCTATGTGTTGCAAATCTTCGGTAACGTAAAATGAATTGAAATGATATACCTAGCTGTTTTGTGGTCATTGTTCTATATTCAAATGACATACTCAAATAACCATCGAACGGTGTCATTTTGACAAACTATTTAACTCAGTACTGTTGAAGTATTCAAATTAGGAAATTTTCTTAAAATATTTGTGCACAGTGAAACCGTCTCAATATAAAAGCGTAGCTCATTATAAACGATTTGAAGTTGGTCGAGTTTCCACAAGATCATGTTTTGATTAGGTGTGGTTATGCTGTCTTAATTTGCCGCCCACATAGTTGTTAGGCAATTAATACGAGATAAATATTCATATATACATACATAACATAACTTACACGCATCTATATGGTGAGCAGCCTATAAGTTGATGGAAAATGGAAAATCAAGCTAAGTTTTATTTCAACTGTAAGAAAATTGAGAGTTTTAGAACGGTTTGGTCTTGAAATTTATTTTGTTTTTGACTTTATTTGAACATTATTTTACAGATTATATACCAAACCTACTTTACTGCCTTTGATTATATACCAAACCTACCAAATATTCAAATCCTGTCATGTAAAATAAGTGCATGGTATTGTACTCATTGTTAGTTAAATTACAAAATAAACTTTATAAAATACCAGTCAAGGTCACAGAGTAAAATTCTAGAATTTTTTACCATGACCGTGGTTTATACATAAAGTGCGGTGCGACTTCAACAGGGGGACCACTTTCCCCTGGTGATGGTTTTAAAAAAATTAACTCAAGAAATTAATTGTGAAACTGCATGTTATTACTTATGTATAGCATTATTTAACATATGTTAATTAATTGTCAATTGAGTAAGTAACGTATCAAAAATCCAATAATATAAGAATCAAATTTTGAAATGCAGTCTGCATTCATATAAACATCAAAACATGTACTTATTGTGAGTTTTGTTATTTAATTAACATACTAATAGAGATGAGCCAATTAATTGGCCATTTTGAGAAACATCAATCTCGTACCCAGAGCAATGCCTGTGCGCGGGCTAAAATGGCATTGGCTCTGGGGAAATTGAATTTTTCTTGTGCTGTGATTGGATAACGTTTATCAATTGTGCATGTCGACAAAGAACCGGAACCCCTAAATTTAGGGGTTCCGGTTCCAATTTCCCCAGAGCCAATGCCATCCTAGCCCGCGCACAGGCATTGCTCTGGGTACGAGATTGGAGAAACATTGGACCGAAGTCTTTTAAACCGAGGCGATATTTCTCGGTACATACCGAGCAAGGGAGGTTAATAAAAAGTTTATTATATGGCATTTACAGGCATTTATACTTGAAACAAACAAGAAATGCATGATTCGAAATGCATATTATAGCGTGGTACACATTTTAATTTGGTCGAAGAAAACAAAATTTACCAATGTATGCCTTCTTTTCCACTTAGGACCATTCGCAGATATCTTATTACTTACAAATTAAACTATAATTTTCAAATTTTCAATTAGTTTTGCTGTTTTGTTTTAAAATGCATGTGTTTGTTTTTACGTAATGGACGTGAAAATAATGGACTGCTGAAAGTGCTTCTCAGCCAATCACAGTCCGCCAGATTACCGAAAGTAATGCTTGCCATATAACAATGCATGATAATCGTCAAAATAAACTAGAAGAGTAAAACTCCTAGATATATGTGTCAACATTGCCCCTGTCTCTGAATATAACGTGTGGTGGCATTTCAATTGAAGCATCACTTAATTCTGATGAGGTATCTTGGCTGTGGTATGGGGGTGGGGATATTCTGCCTTGAGGTTGACATGGGGTTAAGGGGAGCCAAGTGTATGCTGGTGGGGGTTGATCGGGTGATGATGGTGATTGATTGGGGTATGGAGGAGGGGGTTGATTAGTGTATGGCGGGGGTTGATTGGGGAATGGTTCCAGATTTTGGAAATGCAATGGCTGTTCTTGTGGTGTATGTTGTTGCTCTTCTTCTTCTTCGTCGTTTTCTTCTTCTTCACTTTCAACGACTCTATTTATTATAGTTGAAAGTCGTATTTCTCGACTTTCACAGATTGTACTTCTTGTGGTGGCAAGTTGTGTTTCTCGTTCACGAGAGGCACGTCTCGAGGCTGCTTCCAACCTGTCCTTACGAGCAGCCCGAAATATGCAAATTGCAAGTATAACGAGGAAAAGACCAAAAGGGCCAGCTATGCCCAATGCAATAATCCAACCAGTATTAACGCAATCTTTACATACATTATATGGATATTCAATACCACAACAATGCCCAGTAGAATTACAATCGTTATCTGAATTACACCGTTGTCTAATACAACATTTACCATCACAACAGGATTGACCTGATGCGCAGTCGCCAGGAGAGGAACAAGATTCTCCAATACAAGTAAAGGCACATTTATTGTTACAGCAATATTTACCTGATCCGCAGGGATCAGGATAAGGATAATAATAGCTGCACGAGTAACCAATACAAGATCTAGCACACGTGCCATTATAACGACTTTGGTAACGACCACAACAGGATTCATCCTTTGCGCAGTCGTCATCATACTTACAAAATTCTCCAATACAATTTGAGGCACATGTTCCATCAGAACAACAATATTCACCTGTTCCACACTGATCATTCTTTTTACATGATTTTCCAACACAAGATCTAGCACATTTACCAATACGACTTCCACCACGATCACAACAATATTCACCTGATCCGCAGTTTTCATTACGGGAACAAAACTCTCCAATACAATTTAAGGCACATGTTTTATTTGTAGAACCACAACAATGTTCAGGCCACCCACACTGATTATTCTTTTTACACGATTTTCCAATACAAGATCTAGCACATCTGCCTGCATTAAAACCTAGAGAATGACCACAACAATATTCATCTCGAGCGCAGTGGTTATTATGGGAACAAAATTCTCCAATACAATTTGCGGCACATGTTTTATTAGAACCACAACAATATTCACCTTTTGCGCAGTTGTTATTCTCTTCACACCATTTTCCGATACAAGATCTAGCACATTTGCCCATTTCCAAATGTCGATAACCACAACAGGAATTACCTGATGGGCAGTCGCGATCAGAGGAACAAGAGGGGGAAGAACAATTCAAGGCACATTTTCCATCACAACAATATTCACCTGGCGCACAGTTCTTACGAGACAATCCGCACCATTTTCCAACACAAGATTTAGCACATTTGCCACCCCGATTTGGATAACAATCACAACAATATTCACCTGATCCGCAATCGTGATGAGACAAACAAGAGGAACAATTTAAGGCACATTGGCCATCACAGCAATATTCGCCTGGTGCGCAGTCGCTAGATCTGTCACAAGGCTCACCAATGCAATCGCGCTGACAAACGTCGTTTTTTCTACAGCAATGCTTTGACGAAAAAAAACAAATAGTAGAAAAATCTTCGCACCAATAAGACGATACTACTTGTAAAAACACAGCGAGAAATATCATACAAAAACACGAAGTCTTCTTCATACACGTCATTCCTTGCGATGCGAATCTTACGTGTGAATAATACGAAATTGAAATGGACTTGTTTTAGCGTCTACATAACTTCCAATAATGTCGTCTACGTCTGCGCTTTTGCTAATTCGACTCTGATCCGTCTTCTCACATCAAATTGCCATTTGGAATGAATATAAACTATATATCTACCATACTAGCTCTAAAATAGCACAAGACAGCTGGTGAACCAAGATATGATTTGAGAACTCTGCTGAGTCCTTTGTTTTATCTTTTTTGTTCATGATTATGCAAAGTTTTCCATGTTGAAAACAATGAATTTTTGACATTGCAATCATCCTATCATATTGACTCGCCGAATCATTCAACTATACTCTTGAAATATTTGAATAAAAAATATTAAACGATTTATGAAGTCGTCTTAACCTAACATAAAAACGAGCTAATTATAAACGATTTCAAATTTGTCGAGTTTGCAGAGCATATCTCGTTTCTCTAAATGCTTATTAGCCATTGATTTCAATTCGCCCCCACACAGACCCTGCTGTGCATGGCAAATTGAGACGAAATATGTATTCATAACTACGTAAGACACATACATACATACTTCCATGCAAAAGTTTGGTATAAGCAGCCTAATTACTTCAGGGAAAACGAGAAGCTTGTTTCAATGTCTATTATTTCTCTGGTTTCAAGGCAAGCGGAGATATGATTTGTCCAATAATTATTTGAAAGAAACAGATTGTTCTAAAAGTTTCAGCAGGAGGGCGGTTGAATAAGATTATTATTGAACAAGAAACCAATTGTGATACTGTTAACATTAACATAGTTTAATTAATGGACTTCTTGCAAAAAAGCAGGATGTTGGAGCCACCAAGCCATTGCTCAATTGTTAGACGTTTACAAAAAGCTACGGTCTAAAACATAAAATTAGACTGCATTTTAACGCTCCCGCTTGCTCTTAACCAATTATTTATAAAATACTTAGTTAGAGTACCAGACCGTAACATTGGCGGGCGGTTGAATAAGACTATTAAACAAGAAACCAATTGTGATATAGCCTGCATGCAGGCAGGCGGTTCCTAAAATTGGGCAAACATATAGTTTAATGTACTTCTTGTAAAACGCAGGAAAAGAGGGATGTAATTGGAGCCATCAAGCCATTTGCCCTATTGATAGATGTTTATAAAAAGCTACATTCTAAAACATAAAACTAGACTGTATTTTAACGCCCCCCGTTGTTCTAAGCCAATTATTTATAAAATACTTAGTTAAAGAGGTACTAGACCGTAACATTGTAGTTTTGTTTCAACTGCATAGTTTTGTTTCAACTGTAAGAAAATTGTCCAGTAATTTCTGGAAAAAAACCCAATTGTTTTAAGAGTCTTAGCACGGTTTGGTCTTGGAATTAAACAAGAAATTAATTTTGTTTTGACCTTATTTGAACATTATTTTACAGATTATGTACCAAACCTACTTTAAAAGCTTGTTTGTTGATTGACAAAATGCACCAAAATATTTAGTGTCAAATATTGAAATCCTATCATGTAAACCAAGTGGTAATGTACTCATTGTTAGGTAACATACAAGATAAACTTAATGAAATACCAGTTCAATTCACAGAGTAAAATTGTAGAATGTTTGACCATGGTTGTGGTTTAAACATAAAGTATGGTGGGATTTCAACAGGGGGACCATATTCCCTGGCGATGGTTTTAATGAAATTAAACAAGAAATTAATTGTGGGACTGCATGTTATTACTTATGTATAGCATTATTTATTTATTTTACAAACTATACACTAAACATATGTTAATTAATTGTCAATTGAGTAACCTATCAAAAATCCTATAATATAAGTATCAAATTTTGAAATTCAGTCTGCATTCATATAAACATGTACCTATTGTGAGTTTTGTTATTTAATTAACATACTAATAGAGATGAGCCAATTAATCGGCCATTTTAAAATAATCAGTGATGGACCGATTATTGCATGATAATCGTCAAAATAAACTAGAAGAGTGAAGCACTACTGTACATGTCCCTGTCTGTGAATATAACGTGTGGTGTCGTTTCCATTGGAGGATCACTTGATCCTGGTGAAATATTTTGGCTGTGGTATGGGGGTGGGGAGATTCTGCCTCGAGGTTGACACGGTGGTAAGGGGAGCGATGAGTATGCTGGTGGAGGTTGATCGGGTGGGGGTTCATTGGGGTATGGAGGTGGGGGTTGATTAGTGTATGGTGGGGGTTGATTGGGGAAGGGTCCAAGGTTTCGGAAATGCAATGGCTGTTCTTGGGGTGGTTGTTGTTGCTCTTCTTCTTCTCCTTCGTCTTGTTCTTCACTTTCAACGACTCTATTTATTATAGCTGAAAGTCGTGTTTCTCGACTTTCACGGATTGTATTTCTTGTGGTGGCAAGTTGTGTTTCTCGTTCATGAAAGACACGTCCCCAGGTTGCTGTGGCAAGTTGTGTTTCTCGTTCATGAAAGACACGTCTCCAGGTTGCTGTCAACCTGGCCTTGCAAAACACAAATATGGGAATTGCAAATGTCATGACGACAAAACCAATAATCACATATATGACCACTGCAATAATCCTTTTAAGATTAACGCAATCTTTACATTCCTTATAGGAAGAACCATAACAACATTTACCTCCACGCCCAGTAGAATTACAATCGTTATCTACGTGTATACACCGTTTTTGTCTAATACAACATTTACCATCGCAACAGGATTGACCTGATGCACAGTCGCTACGTAAGGAACAAGATTCTCCAATACAATTCAAGGCACATTTATTGTTACAACAATATTCACCTGTTCCGCAGTGGTAATCATATTTACACGAATCACCAATACAAGATCTAGCACACGTGCCATTGTAACGACTTTGATAACGGCCACAACATGATTCATTCTTTGTGCAGTCGCCATCGGAAGAACAAAATTCTCCAATACAATTGGAAGCACATGTTCCATTAGAACAACAATATTCACCTGATCCACACTGATCATTCTTTTTACATGATTTTCCAACACAAGATCTAGCACATTTGCCACTAAGACTTTAACCACGATCACAGCAATATTCACCTGGTGCGCAGTCGCTAGAGCTGTCACAAGGCTCACCAATGCAATCGTGCTGACAAACGTTGTTTTTTCTACAGCAATGCTTTGACAGAGAAGAGCACGTAGTAGAAAAGTCTTCGCACCAATAAGACGATACTACTTGTAAAAACACAACAAAACATACCACACAAAACCATGAAGTCTTCTTTATACACGCCATTCTTTGCGATGCGAAGCTTGCGTGTGAATATATAATACGAAATTGGAATGAAGTTTTAGCGTCTACATAATTCCCAATAGCTGTCGACTACGTCTGCGTTTTTGCTAATTCGATTCTGATTCGTCTTTTTACATCAAATCGCCATTTGCAATGAATATGAACTATGTATCTACCATAGTAGCTTTAAAATAGCACAAGACAGCTAGCTGGTCAACCAAGATATGGTTTGGAAACTCTGCTGAGTCTTTGTTTTATCTTTTTTGTTCATGATTATATGCAAAGTTTTCAATGTTGAAAACAATGAATTTTTGACATTGCAATCATCCTATCATATTGACTCCCCGAATCATTCAACTATACTCTTGAAATATTTGAATAAAAAATATTAAAAGATTTATGAAGTCGTCTTAATTTACCATAAAAGATAGCTCATTATAAACGATTTCAAGTTTGTCGAGTGTGCAGCCCATATCTCGTTTGTCTAAATACTTGTTAGCCATTGATTTCAATTCGCCCTCATAGACCTGCTTTGCATGGCAAATCAAGACGAAATATGTATTCATAAATACGTGAGACACATACATAAATACATACTTCAATGTATAAGTTTGGTGTAAGTTGCCTAATTACTTTAGAGAAAATGAGAAGCTTGTTTCAAGTGCAAGCGAAGATATGATTTGTGTAATAATGACTCGAAAGAAACAGATTGTTCTAAGAGTTTCAGCATGGGGGCGGTTGAATAAGATTATTAAACAAGAAACCAATTGTGATGCTGTTGACATAGTTTAATGGACTTCTTGTAAAACGCAGAAAAAGAGGGATGTAATTGGAGCCATCAAGCCAATTGCCGTACTGTTAGATGTTTACAAAAAGCTACAGTCTAAAACATAAAACTAGACTGTATTTTAACGCCCCCCGTTGTTCTAAGCCAATTATTTATAAAATACTTAGTTAAAGAGGTACTAGGCAGTTAAAGAGGTACTAGGGTAACATTGCCGTACTCTGCATGCATATCATATTTAATGAGCAGCATATAATAAGTTGATGGAAAATCAAGCTTAGTTTTGTTTCAACTGTAAGAAAATTGTCCAGTAATTCCTAGAAAAAACCCCAATTGTTTTGAGAGTTTTAGCACGGTTTCGTCTTGGAATTAAACAAGAAATTAATTTTGTTTTGACCTTATTTGAACATTATTTTACAGATAATTAATTATACCAAACCTACTTTAAAAGCCTGTTTGTTGATTGACAAAATGCATCAAAATATTTAGTGTCAAATATTGAAATCTTGTCATGTAAACCATGTTACCTAACAATGAGTAGAATACTACTAAAAAAATAAACTTAATAAAATACCAGTCAAGTTCACTGAGTAAAATTATGGTGTGATTTCAACAGGGGGACCACTTTCCCCTGGTGATGGTTTTAATAAAATTAAACAAGAAATTAATTGTGAAACTGCATGTTATTATTTATGGATAGCATTTTTTATTTATTTTATAAATTATACACTAAACATATGTTAATTAATTGTCAATTGAGTAACGTGTCGAAAATTCAATAATATAAGAATCAAATTTTGAAATGCAGTCTGCATTCATATAAACATGTACTTATTGTGAGTTTTGTTATTTAATTGACATACTAATAGAGATGAGCCAATTAATCGGCCATTTTGAAATAATCAATAATGGAGCGATTATTGCATGATAATCGTCGAAATAAACAACAAGAGTAAAACTCCTAGAAATGTGTGTCAACATTGTCCCTGTCTCTGAATATAACGTGTGGTGTCGTTTCAATTGGAGGATCACTTGGTCCTGGTGAAAGGTTTTGGCTGTGGTATGGTGGTGGGGATATTCTGCCTTGAGGTTGACATGGGGTTAAGGGGAGCCATGAGTATGCTGGTGGAGGTTGATCGGGTGGGGGTTGATTGGGGTATGGAGGAGGGGGGTGATTAGTGTACGGTGGGGGTTGATTGGGGAAGGGTCCCAGGTTTTGGAAATGCAATGGCTGTTCGTGGGGTGTATGTTGTTGCTCTTCTTCTTCCTCGTCTTCCTCTTGACTTTCAACGACTGTAGTTCTTGTGGGTGCAGGCTGTCTTTCTCTTTCATGAGCATGACGACTCCAGGCTGCTGCTGCCGACCTGGCTTTACGACGGCAGGAAAACTTGACAAATCCAAGTATTAAGACAAAAAAAATAAAAGGCACAAGTACATAGATTGCATAAAGCCAAGTACGTCGATCTTTGCAATCGTCACAACGATAACCAAAACAACATTGTCCAGTGGAATCACAATCGTTATCTGATTTACACCGTTTTGTACATTCACCATCATCTCGATAACCATCGCGACAATATTCACCTGATGCGCAGTCGCCATTATAGGAACAAGATTCTCCAATACAATTCAAGGCACACGTTCCATTAGAACAACAATATACACCTGATGATCGGCATTGGGAATCATATTTACATGATTTTCCAATACAAGATCTAGCACATGTGCCAATAGGGTCTTGCCCAGGGCCACAACAGATTTCACCTGATGGGCAGTGTCTATCAGAGGAACAGAATTCTCCAGTACATTTTGAAGCACATGTTCCGTTAGATCCACAACAATATTCATCTGATCCACAGTGGGAATCCTTTTTACACGATTTTCCAATACAAGATCTAGCACATTCGCCAAAACGACTTTGACCACGATCACAACAATATTCACCTGATGCGCAGTGGGAATCCTTTTCACAAAATTGTCCAATACAGGATCTATCACATTTGCCAATACGACTTACGCCAAGACCACAACAGGATTCTCCTGGTGCGCAGTTGCTTTGGCGGGAACAACGTTCGCCAATACAATTTGAGGCACACGTTCCATTAGGACAACAATATTCACTTGATCCGCAGTGGGAATCAGATCTACACGATTCTCCAACACAAGATCTAGCACATTTGCCATAATAACTTTGACCACGATCACAACAATACTCACCCATATAAAATGCGCAGTGAAAAGGGTAGGAACACGATTCACCATTACAATTTACGGCACAAGTTCCATTACAACACTGTTCATCATATTTACTTACACAGTGGGAATCCTTTTTACACGATTTTCCAATACAAATTGCAGAACACTTGCCAATAGGATTTTTACCACGATCACAACAGGTTCCGACCAGTCCACAATGGGAATCACTTTTACACGATTGTCCAAGACAAGACCTAGCACATTTGCCGCTGGAACTTTCGGCAAGACCACAACAATATTCGCCTGATGGGCAGTGGTTATCAGAGGAACAGGACGAACAATTCGAGGCACATTTTTCATGACAACAATATTCGCCTGGCGCGCAGTGGCGGCTAGCGGAAGTACAAGGCTTGCCAATGCAATTGGGCCGACACACATTTCCTTTTAAGCAGCAATGCAATGATTCATGAAAACAGAAATGTCCCAAATAGCACTTAGTCCCTTCTACTTGTGAAAACACAGCGCACAGAACAAGATATATAACACAACAACACGTAGTCTTCTTTATAAACGCCATTGTGCGAGCGAATAATATGGAATTGAAATTAAGTTGTTTGTCCCAATAACTGTCGTCTACGACTACGTCTTGCTAATTCGATTCTGATGATTCGTCTTTTTCTGTTGACATGAATATAAAACTATATAGCTACAATGATAGCTCTAAAATAGCACACAAAACAGCGACGGGTTAACAGGTTAATCAGGAGACGGTGTGGGAACTCTGTTGTATGTTTTTGTTCATGATTATGCAAAGTTCTCCATGTCAAAAACAATGAATTTTTGGCATTGCAACCACCTTATGATATTGACTCCCCGAATCATTCAAGTGTACTCCAGAAATATTTGAATCAAAATATTAAGAGAGTTACGAAGTCGTCTTAATTTAACATAAAATTGTAGCTCAATATAAACGATTTCAAATTTGTCGAGCTTCCATGTCTCAGTCGTTTGACTATATGCTTATTAGCCATTAGTTTTAATTTGCCCCCCACAGATCTACTGTACATGGCAAATCGAGACGAAATATGTATTCATAAATACGCAAGACACACACATACATATCGTACTTCCAATGCTTAAGGTTGGTAACGGCAGCCTAATTATTTTAGGGAAAACGAAAAGCTTGTTTCAAGTGCAAGCGAAGCTATGATTTGCGTAATAATTACTTGAAAGAAAGCGATTGTTCTAAGAGTTACAGCATGGGGGCGGTTGAATAAGATTATTAATTAAACAAGAAACCAATTGTGATACTGTTAAAATGTAAAAAGCAGGATGTTGGAGCATCAAGCCATTGGCCCATTGCCCATTGTTGAAGATGTTTACAAAAAGCTACATTCTAAAACATAAAGTTAGACCTACTTTAACGAACGCTCCCCTTTGTTCTAAGCCAATTATGTACAAAATACTTAAAGAAGTAACATTGGCGTCCTCTCCATGTCATCTACATAATTTACTAATACCGGATCAATAAGAGATGATCCTTACTTGACCTCTACAGGAAGAACAGTTTAGAACTGATAGAGCTATCCAGTATAAATAAAGTTAGTTTAGTTTAGGTTTCCTCCTGTAGTAACACTGGATCAATAAGAGATAATCCTTACTTGACCTCTACAGGAAGAACAGTTTAGAACTGATAGAGCTATCCAGTATAAATAAAGTTAGTTTAGTTTAGGTTTCCTCCTGTAGTAACACTGGATGAATAAGAGATGATCCTTACTGGACCTCTAGGAAGAACAATTTAGAACTGACAGAGTTATCCAGTATAAACAAAGTTAGTTTAGTTTAATCTTGTCCTAGGGTTTCTAATTCATTGAAAGATTTCATGTATTATGCTATACCAATGTACTTTTTAATATACATATTTATTTAAGTTTTCATTACTATGAACTAAACATTTTATTTTTTTAACAGCTTCATGTGTGCGCTCAAAAATACGAATAACAAATCAGGACCCACGTTTGTCCATTCCGAAGCGATACAAAAACTACAGTGAGTATTATGAGAGTGAACTTAAAGCAATGGACCATTTGCATTATAGACTAAATTTTGATCTAGACAAAAATTTCATCACAGCTTGAAAGAGCATCACAAAATTAGTAATATTCCAAAGTTTCGTTGCGAAATGTTGTAAAATGCGGATAATATAGCCTTGCGAAGTTTGCCGTTTTTCAGTCATTTTGTATTACGCACGGGAAATTGACAGCCCAATCAGGTGTTGGGGCATCAATTTCCCGTTTTTAATACAAAATGACTGAAAATTGCAAATTTCCCAAGGCTATACTATTCGCATTTTACAACATTTCGCAACGAAACTTTGGAATATTACTAATTTTGTGATGCTCTTTCAAGCTGTGATGAAATTTTTGTCTAGACTTGTTTAGATCAAAATTTAGTCTATAATGCAAAAGGTCCATTGACGTGTTTGTCAACCCGAATAGACCTTTCCCCCCTTAAGTAAAATTTTGATTTAGACAAGTCTGGACGAAAATTTCATCACAGCTTGAAAGAGCATCGCAAAATTAGTAATATTCCGAAGTTTCGTGGCAAAATATTGCAAAATGCGGATAATATAGCCTTGCTAAGTTTGCCGTTTTTCAGTCATTTTGCATTACAATCTAACATTTTGCATCTGATTGATCATCTGATTATCAATTTCCCGTTTGTAATACCAAATGACTGAAAAACGGCAAACTTCGCAAGGCTATATTATCCGCATTTTACAGCACTTCGCAACGAAACTTCGGAATATTACTAATTTTGTGATGCTCTTTCAAGCTATGATAAATTTTTTGTCCAGGCTTGTCTAGATCAAAATTTCACTTAAAAGAGGAAAGGTCTATTCGTCACCCAAAAATTGGAAACTAATTTTGGCGGCATTTTGCACCATGGCGCGCTCGTGTAAGGAATATCAGTATATCTGTTCCAACACACTTGGCTTTGTGTTGGGCCGCTATGCTTCTTACTTAAATTAACTATGACATTTTCATTCAGCCAGGTACACCATCAAAAATTGATCAAAATGTCAAATGTATAATAATAATTAGAGTTGAAGCTATTTTGTTTCAGATATATTAATATACTTCGGGAAATCATTGAAAATAATTTCCCTTTTTCCCCAGAATTTGGGCATCCAAAGGCGTCCATTTTTTGTTCTATGGGCGTCCTGGCTAAAAGCCTGGATACCAACCAAGTTGCATAAAGATACTAGACTGGAGTGTTGAAACGTTGGATCATGAATGTAATTTGTTCATGGATTACAAATCAATCATTCCTTGTTTGCAATGACGTGACTTTTCATCCAAATGATGAGCAATCAAAAACTGGTGGACGATTTTTCTCCTATCAGAATAGTTGTAGCGAGAAAACTGAATGGTAATTCATCTTTTGAGTCTTAAACTGTCTCTGAACTCGATCAAAACATTAAAATAGCAGTTTTTTGTTATACTTGCCCGTCAACTGAAATCCCACAATTACGTGATTGCAAACCAAGAATTTTGTTAGACCAGAGTAGTAAAACATGTCTGATATTAAACCTGGTTGCATGAACACACCAGACTGGAGTGTTGAATTGATTACATATACTCAGGTTGCACTGAACCAATTAACGTTACACTTTTATATTAGAACTAATTTAGTAATTTTATTATATAAAGTATAGTGCTTTATGTACTATTTAAAAAACTCGCAGGAGTGTTTTATTAGGTTTAAAGCCACGAGCGCGCAGCGCGAGTGGCTTTAGACCTAATAAAACACGACCTGCGAGTTTTTTAAATGGCTTCAAAAACGTTTGCATAATAAGTCAAATCTTATATAAAAATATTTATATAAAAATCTTTATATAAAAAATCTTTATATAAAAATCTTTATATAGTTTGCATAACAATGGTCTTTTGTTAAAGTGTTCTTTAGCTGGTATAAAGACGTATGCACGTGACTAATTTCTTACTCAAGATTGGATAATTGCTTCATGAATTATTAATGAGTTTTTGAAAGAGATTTCGAGCACTGATAAAACTGATAATCTCACATGTGAGATTATTTATGATAATTTCACATGTGAAAATTATCGCTTTTCAACTATCGGCTTTTCTGTAAAAATTATCGCTTTTCAAAGACTACATGTCCTTTCTATAATAAACTCGTTCGCTGCATGCGCTCGCTCTTGAGATATCATGTTCAACATTCGAAATCTGGTATTTCCGCGCACCATGCATGTATTATTATTCTCTATTTATACGTTGTTTTACATATTCTTCTATATAGTTTTCCGTGCGAAGTTCGAACAGTCTAAGCGAAATGGTACAAACTGGACGCTATTGATTAAAGTCCTGTTCCAGTCTCCGTGTACGTCGAGACAGCTTCCCCCTGTAACACATTTGCTGTTGGAAAAATCCTGCAAAAAGAAAATAAAAAAAAGCGATGGCGAAGTTTTGATTTTGGCCAAGAAGGTAATACGATAAACAAAGAGCCATTCGACCATCTCTCATACCAAAAAAAACCCACACTGAATCATTTTTGAAGTCTAGAATCTTTACTAAGAGGATAATATTTTGTATGTTACGTAACACGCCCTCAAAACTAACGAACATACTTCTCCACTATATTCAAATTTTTAAATTTTTTATACGTTTCTCGAGCGGCAAACAAACTTAAAAAGTATGTTTAGTGCTTTATCTGTAAAGTGATGCTAAAATGAAGAGATTTTAGATGGTACGCCAAAGAGAAAATGATGTCTGAAGTTCAGTAGGTTTTGCTAATATGGCTGTATAAATATGGCGTCAATTTTGCAGCATCAATAATAATTGTACTTAAATTGACAATATTCAACTATTACTCGGTGTTGTCCAACCGCCAGAAAACATACAAAACAAAGCAAAAACAAAGTGATTTTGAGAGGAACGTACGCCATTTCCTTCATTCTTAAACATACATATCAATATTTTATCAGCAACTCTACTCGATAGTATATAGTAAATATAACTATTATTTTATTTTTCAAGGGAAAGAAGCAGATCGATATGGTGATAAAGAAAATCTATATCACGTCGAGCAAAGCTGATATGAAGAAGGCACTAAGGAAACACAAATGCCCATCGAAGAAGTAAGTATATACCCGAGGTATATATGACTGCACGAAGCTGTCTGACCTTGATAAAATATTTTCTCCCTCGCAGAAGGCTTCCAAGCCCAAAATATCTCCCAATTTATTTCACTGTAAATAAACTCCCAATTTACAGTGCGTGCGTTCATCAAAACCATTAATGCAATTTTGCACAGTAGCGACACAAGTCACCCAACTCCGTAAATTTTCAAACAGCCAGACAATTCTGGCACAAAAAACATTCAAAAAGCATTTGTGGTTGTGGTCTAAGGAAATGCGAATATTTTTGAAATAGTACGGGTAATTTGACTAATTTGCCAGGTAGAAAAACATGAACAACAGTAAAGTACTATTAAAGGTAGTTAAATTATGTTTCTCAAAATTTTTGGAATATTTTCCTATATGGTCAAAAACAGAGTTGCGAAAAAGCTGTGGGTATATGCTTGTATATTTTGCGATTTGAGAAAGCCACAATTCACATAATTTTGAGGTTTCAAAACTTGATCCAGGGCACAAATTAAACTCGCTCGTTCCAGCTCTTAGGATTAACGAACACAATCTACGCCATAATAGGAGTTTTAAGGTTCCAGTTTGTAGAACTGATCGCTTATACCATAAGAGTTTCATACCGTCTGTAGCATCATTCTATGACACGAAACATTTTTGACTCTTAACTTTTAATATTCTTAAATCGTATGTTATTACATCACTCTAGTTATACAGTATTTCATAGTTGATAAACCATTGTAACTTCTACTTTTAATATTCTTAAATCATATGTTACTACATATTCTTATTTATAGTATCTTACAGTTGTAAAACCAGTGTAATTCAGTTTTAACTGCAAAATTGGTTGTCAATAAAACGATTATTATTATCAACCCCAAGGAAAGTCGAACACTTTTTGAAACTCTGGTCAAACACCACTTCCTGACATCAATGGGTGGTTTGGTCAACGCCTTAACCAATTATTTCTTTTATTCAAATTTAGACGAAACAACAAGAAGCAATCGGGCAATCATAAAGGTTAACAAAAACATGGACGTCCTCATTGGAGATTGCTGCGTAAGAAATGCCAATAGCACTGAAAATTGTACATAGAAACTTAAAGTATAGTTTTTAAAAGACCAGGAACGATTATGTTTGCCATAAAAAATAAGATTCAATATAATGTTTTGATTATATAGCTAGGAAAGTGAATTCAACTTTATAGTTTTATTTTTCTTTGATATATATTTGTGTTCAATGTAAAAGCACTTTTTAAATATAGCATTTGTGTGATAATATGATAACTATCGAATATATATAGATTGTATCAAATACAATTTAAATCAATTATATGTAATGTTCGAATTAATAATATACACGATTTTGTTAAACAAACTTTTTGTAAGCATTTTGCAAAGTTACAGTTAAATTTTAATAAAAGCTGATTTAAATATTTTAATATTCTTATTTTATTTTATTAATTGGTGTCTGTTGTAAGCGGAGCCTCTGTTTTTCTGCAAGCAAGTCTCGCAAAATCAAGCTTCGCACAAATTCAAATCGATATTTAATCACAAAGCCTCTTCATAGAAAGTGGGAATGACCCTGCACCCAATGACTGATCTGTTACCAATAAAACAAGGACGGATCTTAAAAATCTGCTCGACCATCCATTTTCTGCTTTTCGAATAGCGTTTAGCGAAACTTCCAGTGTTGCAGTAAGCGCGTGTCGATTTCTTGAAACGATTTCATTGATTTGTGAGCTCACGAGAAAATACTTGGAATGCTTTAGTTCAATATCATGGTTAAATTGGTAACATGTCGAGGTTGTTATACAGCCATATTTTCAAATATACTGTACTTTAACAAGCAGATTTATTGTACTGTGCGTGTAGTAACTGTCCAGTCACGCATACGTGATAAAAATTGATATAAACTTTATAAACAAAAGATAATGTAAAACGTAACAGAACGGCGAACATGCAGATTCAGCCATCTCAAATAATGGTAATGTTGGGATAGTAGCGTTGCAGACTGCAGAAGAGAGTGGGCTGTAAGGCTCCCTCATGCACCACCCCATGGAAAACCTGCACCCCTCCTTGCAGATTAGGCTAGATCCGCCCCTTCAGATATGAAAATAGTTGAACATAGGGCCTCATGACGAGGCATACCCAAAATGTAAAATCAAGACACAATATATATGTAATCAAGCCTACCTAATGTTGAATATAGTCTTTTATTGATAGTGATGATGATGTAGCAAGATTGTCTGTCTTCTCACAAGTTCAGCATAAAGGCCTTTCTGTCTTATCAGTTCTGCATGACTGCCAAGTTCTTTGATTTTTCCCTCAGACAATACAGCTATCGAGTCTAAAAGTTGAAATTACTTTCATTACTTTCATGTAGTTTACATGAGAGTTTTCTCAACTTTCATTGCTTCATCAAACGAGAACAAGAGTTGCATGAGAGTTGAGAAGCGAGAGTTTACATGAGAGTTTTCCCAACTTTCATTGCTTGATCAAACTAGAACAAGAGTTGCATGAGAGTTGACAAGCGAGAGTTTACATGAGAGTTTTCCAAGACCCTCAGCCTTTTCAAACCCTCAGCCATTTTAAACACCTCAGCCTTTTCAAACCTTCAGCCTTTTCAAACCTTCAGCCTTTTCAACCCTCGAGCCTTTTCAAACCCTCAGGGTTTCAGACCCTCAGCCTTTTCAAACATCTCAGACTTTTCAGACCTTCAGCCTTTTCATTACCTGCTTCTTGTATAGTACTTAAACGATGAGCGATCACTAGAACTGTTCGTCCTTCTGTCAATTCATCCAATGCCTCTTGAACGACTCTTTCAGACTCCGCGTCAAGTGCACTAGAACAAGAAGAACAATTTGTAACGATACGCGCTCTAAGCACTGACGCGTTGATGAAAATACATAACCGAGAACAAAGGCGAACAACGTACAGAGAGCATAATAGAAAGGTTAAGATACCCCGGTTCCATTTTATGGGTACGAGTAACGCCATTTTGTTTACCAATTTTTGCTGATGTCAGCATTTTTACCCGTAATTTCTACCCGTTTCCCCGCGGTAAACCATGGTCTGCACGTAAAAGACAAACGGGTACGGGTATTTTCTATTTACTATTTGTGTGCCGTTTAAATAGTAAACATTTTCAACATCTTACCCAAATAAATAATGCACATATGCTCGTCAAAATTTTCAACAATCTATAGCGAACCTCGACAACGAAAGTTACCATTCTCTGATCGGTTTTCTCACGCCGGAATATCTTGGATTTCTTAAAACTTACAAGTCGTTCCCCGATTTACGGGTACAGGTACTTGTATATCACCTGTACCCGTAAACCGGGGTATCTTAACCTCTCTAATAGAGACCTTTTAAGATCTGGGACGGCAATGTGAGGACGACGGCTGGTAATCCAATGAAACTAATAATATTTACTGTCGTTCCAATTGAAGTGTTGCTCAAATATTGATTCAATACATTACCTCGGGCTGACCAATTCATTTGATCAAGTTCCTCGAGATATTCATACACTTCCTGTGAAAGAGCCAATTTCAAGTATTTGATCATTTCTGGTCACTTCCTTTCTATTTATGATTGGTTAGTTGCACAAACGACAAAGGTGATTGGTGCATTCAAACTATTGAACAGGAAGTTTACAATTATACTATATAGGAAGTGTATGAATATCTCGAGGAACTTGATGAAATGAATTGGTCAGCCCAAGGTAATGTATTGAATCAATATTTGAGCAACACTTCAATTGGAACGACAGTAAGAAAAAAAATGAATAATTAAAATCCCACGGGAGATTTATACATCGTCCAAGGTGTGTTTACAACGGGTAAACGCCGTGAACCAGAGCTTTCACGTCTTATGTATAACGTTTGCATTATACTTCGCAAGAAGTGGATACTCGGCAAATTGGTTCAGTACCAACGTGGAATTCTACTCAATCAACTGTTTTAAATTCATGCGATTGATAATATACGATAAGATTTCTTTACAACATTTATTTGGGTGAATTTGTTTTGGCCGACGTTGTCGCTTTGCCGTCCTACATCTTAGGGTATCTATAGTAACATAAGCAATACCTCGTCGCCTCATCCAGTATCAGTATCTTCGGGTTCTTCAATAAAGCTCTTGCTATTGCAATCCTGAAACAAACGACGTTTAATTGGGCCGAAAAGATATATGGGGGTTTCCGGTTTCCCGACCCTACCTAGCTTTTGGACGCCGAAATCCCCCGACCCTAAACTTTTTTATTGGATCATGTTTGTAAGTGTTTCACTTAGAGGAAAACGTTTGTGAAAAATGGAAATTTGAGGCAATACTAAGAAGCAATGTCAACAGTCATATGTCAATACAATATATAAATCAATCAGAGTCACTATCTTGATAATTTTCCGATTTGTCAGGACGCAAATGGTGTCTCCAAAGTAAGTACATGTGCAGACAACATGAAACTTTAGACTGCAGAAAATTGCACAACGCTATCCTTTTGTAAAGTTTTTGCTAGAGGTGGGTGTTTATTTTTTTATTGATATTTGAGGTTGGGTAAAAATTGTTTTTGACTTTTTAATGGTTGGTTCAGCAAAATTGATTCTCAAGAAAAAAAATTCTCTTTGGTGCCACCCCCTCCCCCGGCATAAATAATGTCCCTCAATACCCCTACATGTACACTACCTTTGCCTTTGTCCACCAGAGACTGTCACACCACGTTCCCCTAAAACCGTCTCATATCCTTCGGGGAATTTCTTGATGAAGTCATGGGCATTAGCCTGCATCGCCGCTTTGTAGACCTAAATGAAAAAGCAATTCCTGAGGGCCGGATTATCGTTTCGCGGGGCAGCGCGGGGCCCCTTGCCCCCCCCCCCCAACCCCCGTCACCCAACGACATTTTAAACAATGAATTCAGAACACTGGTCTGAAATAAGACTGGACAAGCATCCCATTGAATTCAGTAATCCGATTTTGCAAGCAGAATATTTTAATGAGATGGGTTTTATAAATCAGTCAAATTCATGACCAGTCTAATATTTTGCTGTTTAATTAAGTTCAGTTAGACTATAAAGCAAAAATCTTCGCCTATCTGACTTGTGAAATATACATTCCAAAACCTCTTCGAAGTAGTTTTACTCCAATAGTGCAATTGCCCGTTTGCAATCGACGCCATATTGGTTGACTTTCAACTGAACACAAGTGGCAACTATAAAATTCATATTCTTCATTCTTTGTCGTATTGAGCCAAAGATCGTAAACTATCCATAATACAGTAACATGTTTTCAAAACAAACCAGAAAATGTTAAACTAACTCAACTACTTCGCTGCAAACGGCCTAACAAAAGTTCAAAATCAACCAAGTTGGCGCCTAATGACTCGTAGTGACGTCATGCGCGAGCAAACAATACTGCATGTAATTCAAGGTACTCGTATTCGATATGGCGAAATAAATCAGAAATTTTAAAAGGTTCGCCTTTCTGAATAGGATAGCTGTTTTTGAACATGGTCTTGATTTTTAAGCGCGGTACGACACGAAGCAGATAGGATTGTGTCAAAATTATGCATTTTGATTTTGATTTAAAGACTAATACTATATTTTAAGAACTCAAAACTCGATAGATTACAATAGCATACCTGTTCATCTGTCGCGCTGGGCTTCCCATACCGAATATTTTCCAAAACCGAAGTCGCAAACAAAACTGGTTCCTATAAATACGAGAAATATATAACCATTGAATATTATCGGCTTAACAATTCAACCGAGCTTACCCTACTCATTCAATCATGCAGACGTGTAACTTAACACCTCACCGCTGCAAGTGAATATCACGACGCCGACGGGCAGGTATTAACCGTTATTACACGTTACCAAGCTTGCTACAAGCCCGTGAAGGAGATATCTTGTTGAAAAGTTCGTGGAACAGCATTGTCACAACTTGCTATCAAGCTTGCTACAAGCCCCTTGAGGAAATATCTTGTTGACAAGTTGTTCGAACAGCATTGTCAGAACTTGTTAACAAGCTTGCTACAAGCCCGTCGAGGAAATATCTTGTTGACAAGTTGTTGGAACAGCATTGTCAGAACTTGTTAACAAGCTTGCTACGAGCCCGTTTAGGAAATATTTTCTTGAAAAGTTGTTGGAACAGCATTATCACAACTTGTTAACAAGCTTGCTACAAGCCTGTTGAGAACATATCTTGTTCACAAGTTCCTGGAACAGCATTGCCACAACTTGTTAACAACCTTGCTCCAACCCCTTTGAGGAAATATCTTATTGACAAGTTGTTGGAACAGCATTGTCACAACTTGTTAACCAGCTTGCCACAAGCCCGTTGAGGAGATATCTTGTTGACAAGTTATTGGAACAGCATTGTCACAACTTGTTAACAAGCTTGCAAAAAGCCCGTTGAGGAAATATCTTGTTGACAAGTTGTTGGAACAGTATTGTCACAACTTGTGAACAAGCTTGCTACAAGCCTGTTGAGCAAATATCTTGTTGACAAGTTGTTGGAACAGCATTGTCACAACTTGTTAACAAGCTTGCTACAAGCCTGTTGAGGAAATATCTTGTTGACAAGTTGTTGGAACAGCATTGTCACAACTTGTTAACAAGCTTGCTACAAGCTCGTTGAGGAAATATCTTGTTGACAAGTTGTTGGAACAGCATTCTCACAACTTGTTAACAAGCTTGCTACAAGCCTGTTGAGGAAATATCTTGTTGACAAGTTGTTGGAACAGCATTCTCCAAACTTGTTAACAAGCTTGCTACAAGCCTGTTGAGGGAATGTCATGTTGACAAGTTGTTGGAACAGTATTGTCACAACTTGTTAACAAGCTTGCTACAAGCCTGTTGAGGAAGTATCTTGTTGACAAGTTGTTGGAACAGTATTGTCACAACTTGTTAACAAGCTTGCTACAAGCCTGTTGAGGAGATATCTTGTTGACAAGTTATTGGAACGGCATTGTCACAACTTGTTAACAAGCTTGCTACAAGCCTGTTGAGGAAATATCTTGTGGACAAGTTGTTGGAACAGCATTGTCAAAACTTGTTAACAAGCTTGCTACAAGCTTGTTCAGGAAATATCTTGTTGACAAGTTGTTGGAACAGCATTGTCACAACTTGTTAACAAGCTTGCTACAAGCCTGTTGATGAAATATTTTGTGGACAAGTTGTTGGAACAGCAATTGTCAAAACTTGTTAACAAGCTTGCTACAAGCCTGTTGAGGAAATATCTTGTTAACAAGTTGTTGGAACAGTATTGTCACAACTTGTTAACAAGCTTGCTACAAGCCTGTTGAGGAAATATCTTGTTGACAAGTTGTTGGAACAGCATTGTCACAACTTGTTAACAAGTTTGCTACAAGCCTGTTAAAGAGACATCTTGTTGACAAGTTGTTGGAACAGCATTGTCACAACTTGTTAACAAGCTTGCTACAAGCCTGTTAAAGAGATATCTTGTTGACAAGTTGTTGGAACAGCATTGTCACAACTTGTTAACAAGCTTGCTGCAAGCCCGTTGATGAAATATTTTGTGGACAAGTTGTTGGAACAGCAATTGTCAAAACTTGTTAACAAGCTTGCTACAAGCCTGTTGAGGAAATATCTTGTTGACAAGTTGTTGGAACAGCAATTGTCAAAACTTGTTAACAAGCTTGC